CTACAGGCTACACAGTTTCACCAGTGACTTGCTACAGGCTACACAGTTTCACCAGTGACTTGCTACAGGCTACACAGTTTCACCAGTGACTTGCTACAGGCTACACAGTTTCACCAGTGACCTGCCAAACACACACAGTCCAGGACAGATCTGAGTATATCCGGCCAGGGGCACTGCTAGAGATTCTGTGCCCCACGAAAGGATAGGGTGCTTTCACATCGAAGTTCCAGAACCTGGTCCAGGTTTACAAGTTCCTGGGCTGTCTCGACTAGGAACTTTTGTGACTCCTGGCCACTTTCGTGTGTCGCTTTCATACCACACAACAGGAACTGGGACTTTATGCCAAACAAGCATGGGAGACACAAAAGCTCATAGGTTAAACTTCACACATAATTTCATATGAAACTACATTATCCTCCATTGTTTTCATGTGGCAAACAAGCCATTTTGTTAGTTGCTGGGGGGACTGATCACGATCAAAATATTTTACTTGTATGACCTACAACATGTTTATGATTCTGATTAAATCAGGCCAAATGATCTTTTCCACTGAATAAAAAACTGCGTAACATTATCTTGCTTGTAAGTGCTGGAAAGTTTCACCGCCAACACTGATGATATTAGACAATAACATATTGGTTAGCAAGCAAAAATTGTATTAATTGATGCATTAAATTTAATAGGGGTACAAAAATAATTCCATCTGCTCAGTTTTTGCTCTGCTAATTATATCTGTTTTCCCTGCACTTCCACATAAATGTTAGCAGCAGTGCTTGTGGCCAACCAATCAGCAAGCCATCGCTGTAAGGGCCTCCCTAGTAGTTTGTGTTCGAATGGAAAGTACCTAGTCTGGAGTAGTGACTAAAAAAGGGTTCTGGAACTGCCTCCAAGGAACTACAGTCGGGCAGAGGTCCTGCAGTGTGAACATGACAAAAGTCCCAGGTTCCAGAAAAAAGTTCTGGTGGTGTGAAAGTGCCTACACTGGCCCCCCAACCCAGATCAATCCATTAATTATTTTTTAGCCCCCCCCATGATACCCCTCTAACACCCACAGAGCTCTGAGATGCTGGCCTATTCTCACTGGAGGAGGGATTCATTTCCACATCCCAGCTAACTAGTGTACAAGCAGCTCTAAGGGGTCACCTGCAGAGATACAGCACGTCAGCAGCCTGACCCAGCTCTCCCGCACGGTACTCTATGGCCCAGGGAGTGACAAATGGCCATGAGGTGACCGTGTGTGTTGAGGCAGCACACAAACTGTGTCCTTAATGCTTCCTGGCACATATAGGGCACATAGCTATCTACTGTAATCAGCAGAATAAGCTAGACTGAATTGGAGCAAAAACGTAGGTATTGGGGGAGGCCATGGTTTATATGGGAAAAATAATAAACCAAAACACAGAGAAGGAGTTAATACACTCAGAGCATCTGAGTAAGGCCATCTGCTCACCCTGTCGTCTCAATGAAGTCCACACATAGTATGATGTCATAGCCGCCTGGCAGAAGGATGCCGTCAGCTACCCTCATGACAGGGCCTGCAGCCTGGGGTTTTCCTGAGATACTCATCGCAGCCTCCACACTTTGCTTCTGGGCCACAGTTACAATGGGTTCCGGTCTGTGTGCGGTACTACTCGAAAACGGACAGAGATTTTGACTTTACCACAAAATATACAGAAAGGGAATTTAATCAGGTCAGAATGACCTGACCACCAATTTTCTTTATATACCAGTCCTCCTCCTGCTCATCCTCTGTCAAATCTATAGTAGCTGGGGGGCCCAGGGACACGTCTTCCTGATCTCCAGATGTCTGCTGCTGCTCCCCCTCCTTGTCGCTGGACCCCAGTCGCTGTGCCAAAGCCATGCCTAACTCTGTCAGTGAGTACCTGTGTGTAGAGGCCGCAGATTACAGCCATGTGAACCCACAGTGATTAACGGTAGAACCTCTAGTGTTTTTTTTTTGTTTTTTTTTACCCGCCAGCAGTGACATACTTCAGGCGTATCACACCTTTCCTTTCTGCTAACTGGCCACTGCATTAGCATACTGTTCAGCTATCAAGAAAACAATCTTTGCAGCTGCAGAGTTGCTGACGCCCCTAAAAAGCAGCAAAACTCATAATACAGTCGTGCATATCTCATGTTTTTGTGCTCATTGATTTAAGTATTGGTTACGATAGATTAATGCTGTGAAATTAATCTTAGTCCTACACTGCTAATAAAAGAAAAGCCTCGCTTTAACATAAACACCAAAGTATTACAATTGGGTATGGTCGAGATTATTTATGGTCAACTTATGGTCGAATACCTGTGCCACTTTTTTCTCATATTTATTGAATCGTTTTATATTTCTCGGAGCAACAATAAAAATGGAATGGCAAGGTTCTTCAACTGAAAACCTAACATTTTTTAATCGTTTCACTTGGGTTGACGTATAAAAAATAATATTGCTTTATAGAGTTGTTAAAAAGTAGAGATATGAACATAAAATCACCAATAAAAGACTACAAAATATATTTATCTGATATCTTACGAAATACATGCCGCATTTGAAAACTTCTCAGCTTTACGATTCCATGACAGAGCAGCCTCTCTATTAGGAACATTACGGCTTTTTATTTAAGGGTGTCGGATTCGCTGCTGCTATTAACACCAACAGCACACTAGTATAAACAAACGGGCTGCATACGCCAAAGTACGTCAGCTAGGCGGTTAAAGGAGGCTGACGTTCATCGGCATGAGAAACGGTCGTTCAGGCATTAAGGGTGCTGGAGAACCAAGAAGAAAAGACCTATCCTGTCAATGATAAACATCTACATCAGCTGCATCCCAGGGGCCTGTTTCACAAGGCAGGATTACTTGCTTAGCCAGATAACTTGCCAGATTTAAGGTAGTCTGGGCTAAATGTAAGTTGATGAAAATAAGGTCTATTTAAACCAGACTACCTTAAATCTGGCAAGTTATCTGGCTAAGCAAGTAATCCTGCTTTGTGAAACAGACCCCAGATCCGTAATTAGTCTGTTTACAGCTCATTCCTTTAAGAAGCTCGCAAAGGCCCACCTGGCTGGATTGTGAGTCTTCAGCAGAAGGTCCCTCTGTAAGAGTGTGCTCACCGATGACCAGGCCGTGTACTTACTGCCCAAACTGGGCTGCAAAGGAGAGGTGTGAAGGTAACAACCGTCGTTAGCTAAATATACTGTGACAGACGCCATGGGTAAGTTTGGTAACTGGATCTATATCTGTATGTATAGTACATCAAGAAATGCTTTTTATATCACTAACAGTTCATACACCAGTTAGTATTAGGCATTGTACCGAGTTACCAGTCTGTCTGGCTTTCAGACTCACCACAGTGAAGGACGTGTCACACAGCGGCTGAGCTTCTCTCTGCAGGTCCAGCTTGGACAGATAGCCTTTGCTTCCAGGAATCTGCAGCCAGGGGTGCAGCCACAAGAAATGTGAAGCCTCTTAAGGCACAATCACGAGTCAGTGGTCATCATAGGGATGAAACCTCTGAGGACAGCTGACAGCTAAGCGACCCAGTGCGGTGTCAGTACCTGACAGTGCCTGTAGAGGGCGAGGAGGACAGCGTAGCCACCGGAGCGTTTCTGTGGTACGTACTCTCTCCTCTTCCTGCCTCCTTTCTCAATCCCTCCATCACCCGGGAGTCGCTTTGGGGCCCTGCTCCCCTGGGCACATTTAACAGAGCGAACGTGATGAAGATGAATGCAGAACATCATTAATTTCATACTGCTTCTGCCTGGTGGAATAATATCATTTCGAAATGTTACCTATTGTATGCTTAAAAGGTAGTATAAGAAAATCATCCCCTAGTTATGGTCAATCCACCTGGCAACAAACACAGTTGCCTAGAGCGCCATCTGCTGGGAGGGCACCTACTTCGCAAGCAGAGGTATCGCACCGTCCAAGAGAGAATAAAACTGGGTGCCGAAGCTCACCTAGGATGCCATATCGGCTTTGACTGGCACCATCTGACCCTTTAATGCACAACTGAGGAACTTGCAGTTACAGCCGTGACCAATCTGGCGTGTGATATTACAAGGCTTTTCGATCACACCAACAAATGTTGCGGTACCAACCAACAGTACGTATCACAGCCTCATTGTGAGAAAAGGAACAGTTCCACTATATACTATTTCCAACCTTCTTCCCTGTGGACTTTCTGGGGGTTTCAGAGGGAAGTGCGGTAGAAGCCATGTGTTGACTATGCCTGCGCCGTAGAGCACCACTTCTGGGCTGGGAGTGGATAGGGGCATCGGTACCTGCAGAGTGACAGCAGTAATGAGCGGAAAAATACTGCAGATAAATACCGGTTACACATTTAGTCACTTGCGGGTCGGGATTTGTTTTGCGTGGGGATTAACGGCAGGCCTTCACAACCCAGGGTTAGGGTTTCAGTTCTCCAACGGCCTGCCGGCCAGGCTTGCTTTGCATCACAGAGCTTGACCACTCCCTGCGCCTGGATTTCCCCCTCCCATCAAGAGAGCTTTGTGGCCCCAGCCCACAAGCTGGCCTGCCTCAGCACACCTTCACTGCCTCTACATTCCCCTCTCTCTCTCACCGTGCTCCTTGTAGTGCTTCTGTAGCCGATCATCCAGGAGTTTGCAAATCCCGTCGCCGAAGTTCTGCAGGATCTTGGCCTCTCTGCCGTTTTTTAGAGGAAGAGGGTACTTCTTCAAAGAGCTGATGGCCTTTGTGTCAAAATCACATTTACATTTGAAAAATAACGGCACATTAGTCATTGTCCAGTTGGCTCTCGTTACTATTTATCAGCGCCTCTATATCTGACATGTCACAGCTGATGGTGCACTAATGATGTGAAAGCAATATTCTGTCATATTAAATGCTATGCACCACATTTACCGTCTCTCTAAAAACTTGTTTTGTTCCACCCCCAAGATCTGTGGATGAGTGGGGAATTTTATTCGTTTCATTGTTTTAAAAACACGTTAAAATCACGGTCACTAACGTGCAGTTCTTTATACGTAACCGCCTTGTAGAGAGGGATGTGGTAATTACTGACATCTTTCTCAATAATGCAAGAGCATCTCCGCCAGATTTACACCTAGCAGTTACCGGCTGAAACACTAACCACTAAATACCACCTGCTTTTGTCATCCTGGGCCGCAGCTCGTACAAACACGGTATCTCCGCACGGCTGACCCACCTTCTGGTAGACGTGTTGTGTTTTCAGCCCCCTTTCTCTGGCTTGGTCCCTCAGCTCGGTCAGCCAGCACAGGAAAAGGGGGTTTGGACACGGGGACAGTTTGCGCTTCCGACCCAGGCGGACCGGCTCGGACGATGGCATCACGCTACATACTAGAAGATTCAAAGAAATACTACAATGACTATAATCGATGGTAATATATCTATGCGTACTCCAGAATCACCAATATATACATCAAGGTGGGCAACATTAAAAACAAATAGCTAGTTCCTGATACCATACATAACTAACTGAAACGCATGCAAACGTTATAAACTGCTTACAGTCAGTGGAGGAGAAGGCAAATAAACAATACAGATATCTAACTGAACATAGCTGCACTACGCTCCCCTTCCGCCGTACCGCCTCGCTATTCAAAAGGGGAAACTCTCTGGACGTCGCAGTAGATTATATCGCAGCGCCACCTACAGCCTCGGGTGTGCAAATGTGAAGGAAGTCCGCAGCTCTTATGCAAACGGGGTCGGGGGGAGCAGTAGATGGCGCTTCATGCTCCATCCACAGAAGGCAGATCGTCTCTAGTTTTTGCTTCTGTTTCACAATGAAGTACATTACAGCTGTATGCTTTTAACATGTTTTATTACTTATGAATATGGAATCATACATGTTATATACACATCTGGCCTGTGTTGAACTAAAATCATTTAAAGTGGATTTTCATCAGCAGCTGGCCGGAACGGTTTCATAAAGAGCTTTGACGTAGTGTTACTACTTGAGTTTCGTGGTGACACCTGGGAATCCTCCGCTGGAATGTCAGGAGAGCTCCGCTGCTGGATTCCATTGACAAGACTCAACAGAACCCTGGAATCTGCCTCACCATACATCCACCCACACACAGGCACCTCCTGATTTACCCATGTGAACAAAGGATCTCTGATGTGCTCGGAAGAGAAGCAGTCAATCCGGGAAACGTGGCACGAACTGGAAATAAAGACAAATAGACGACACACAAAAGTCCTGGAAAGTCAGTTTACTGTTGAGCAATCCCACAACAATCGTAAGCGCACAATGTACCACAATGTACCACAGTCTGCTTCAGTACATAGCAACAGCGAAGCCACACATTTGCGGTAGGATTGTACAGAGCCTGTGCAGGGGACCACAGTATTCTGCAATGCGTTACAACACAGCAGGATCGAGCAGTGTGTATAGAATTCAAGTTAATACACAGTCTGTAACACCACAGCACAGACAGCGTGCATCTTAACCGCTGAACCATGAGTCAGACAGCCCATTAAAAAGTAGCGTACCACACATGAAATTTATTGCACAATATGGCACAATAACGTGGCGGTGAGCCAAATGCAGTTGACTGCCCAGACATGAGAGGAGCAGCAATTCAGGTCTGTGTTTCACCACCCAGCTCACCTTAACCTAGTCAGCGGGAAACCCTTTTGATAGAATACAGAAGCACAGCCTGACACATCATCCTGACACGCGTTCAGATGCAAAAACAAACCTGTGTTCCTTGCTGTCGAATGTCACGTTTACAAAGAAGTCCTAGATCAAGTCCATAGAATTTAAAAAAACAAGAATATATTTCTTTTTTGTAAACAGTAAAAACAACACCCCCCATAAATAATAATATCTCTCTATACATATAAAACACAGCTGGAAATAGTAATCTCAAGCATATTTCTGTTATATGTTCCCTTTTCACATACAAGGCTGCCAACAGACTCATTGACTCATTCTCTTACTGCTTCATACACACTTAGTTTTGTACACAAAGGGAACTTGCCGAGATCCTCCTCAAACTCTTCCAAAATGTAGCCAAGAAAGTTACACCATGACATTGCTGATAACATCAACAAATTCACCTCCATAATTTTATTGTTTAGAATAAGATGCTAGAAAGAAAAATATATATCTTCTCCCAAACTGAAATCCTGTTTCAGTTCAGCCCTGGCATACCCCCGATTACCCATCACACTCCCACATCATACATGTTTCACATGTGTGTCTAGTGTTCCCAACCTTTACATGTAAATTAAGATGTAAACTTCATTGCACAGTACTTCCATTCTTGCTTTTGAAGAAATGGCATTAGTGTGTCCTTTCTGTGATTTTTTTAAAAAATCACATGCTAGAATATGGCAGTGGATCAGAACAATAGTTTACCTGGCTAATAAATTTGCAGCTACTTATGATTAGTCAACTCAAAAGATTAATATCAGAAAAATGCATATAGTCAGATCTATATCTTTTTGTTAACATTAGCCCAGCAAATGTATGTTTGCAATATAGTGATAGATCCTTTGGTCCATTTGATTTTGTTAAAAATCACAAGTGAGTCACATGCTCAGTATGTAGTGTTTCCCTATTTTAAGAGACTGTTTGAATGGGAAAAGGAGGCCTTGATATGAATTCTGTACAGAAAAGATTAAAAACATATAGAAGAAAGCCAGTTTCATTAATCTACCCATATTATAAGTTGTTTGTTGATCTCAAACTTGAGAGTTAAAAAAGACGTTATACAAAATGTTTTACATTTCATACCGTCTAAGATGCACTGTGGCAGCCAGGTGTGAGATGGCAGGCAATGTGACAAAATGATAATCGTGGCTGTGACACCTTGAGGTCATTCTTCAAGTGTGACTGGTTAATATTATTGGTTTTAGTTTCAACAAAATGTTGAATTTAGTGTTCCAAAACAGTATTCCTACAGTATGGCTAAGATGTGAAACAAAGTGCATTCAAGACATCGACAAAAACCAAAACTCATCTGGGATGCTGCGAAATGCAGCTACTATTGTAGCCGGGCTACAGCATGAGACATATGAAACTAATTAGATATTGTGCTAATCTTATATGTCTGTGTCCTTTAGAAAATAAAAACTCAGGATTGTATCTTGCCCAAGAAAAAGAAAAACAATAATGACAAAAAAATCTCAGTATTTTGAATTTACAGTGTCATAGGAGGGTTTAAAATTCTCCTTTGCTTTAGTGTATAAATCATCGATCACCCCTCCCTCCCTCCCTCCCTCACTCTACCTCCCCCCAGATTCGGCCATATCATCACTGTCAGGGTAGCTCTGAGACTGCGGGGAGCTGGAGGTAGACATGTCTTCCATATCCGCACCCCCGAACTGGCCCACTGTCATCCCCAGCTTGCGAGCCCCCTTGGACTTGAGCAGGGCGCTCTGGGGGTGCAGGGCCTGCAGGTGGCGCAGCAGGGAGTCCTGCGTGGGGGCCGTGTGGCCGCAGTCTTCGCACACGTACAGCTTGCTGCGGCGTTCCTTGTAGGCGTACTGCTGAAGGATGCCGTGAATCTTCTTCATGTGCGACTCCAGCGAGCAGCGCTGAGTGAAGGCCTTGTCGCACTGGTTGCACTTGTACGGCCGTACGCCTGCAGCGCCAGGAAAGGAACATGTGACACAGAATGAGCCAGCATGTAGCTTGTCAGCACGCTTTAAACCGCCCTGTGACGCATCTGGCTAAACAAGCGACTAAACTCTAAGCTGCTGTGGGGGGTAAAAAATAAAACTCTCAGCTAACTTGGTTGCAGGGAAAATAATCAATATAATTAAAATGAATAATGACACTAAATTAGCCCGAAGGACTGAAAACAATTCAGAGAAACAGAGGCTGTCTTGAGGATGAAAAAGAGAATCACACAGAGTGTCAATTCCAACCAAGTCCCTTTACCTCCAGTGAAGATAATCCTGGATTAGTAACAACATTTGTGTTTTAAAAGCAGTTTGCGTGTGTCAGTGCTATCAGATTCTGGAGGTTTTAATGCACAAGATCGGGCGTTGCTTTTAGCAGCTGTGCTCAGAAGTGTAATTAAATTATAAATGCTCCTGGTGCCTAAAGATGACTTTATTTACATAGTATACTGTACATTGTAAATGCAATTACTTACCACCTGAGTGGATGTCAATAAAGACTTATTGCTTGGAAAATATACAATACAAGGTGGGCCTGGAGCCCGTCCAGATACAAGGCAGTGGATACTCTAGAGAAGGTGCCAGTTCATATCACAGCACACGCGCAAACAAAGGGCAATTTAGAGACGGCTGTCAAGCTAAACCGCGAGTCTTTTTACTGTGTGAATGAGCAGGAGTGCCCAGAATAGAACTACACAGGGACAAGTTACCAGTCAGAGCTAGCAAGCGTGGAGGTGTGCAGTTACAGCGCCTCCCACTGAGTCACTGGTTTTTCTTATTGGCAATTTATTAAATTGTCCTGAAACTCAATAAATATAGTGAGATGTCAATCTGAAGCTAACAAAACGACTGGGTAAAAAATAACTTTTACTCATCATAAACAGGTGCAATTAGTCAGAGATCATTGCACGATTTGCCCATCTAAACCTCGAAGTCAGTGTGGTGGTGAAGTTCAGGGGAGCCCACCTGTATGGGTGCGGACATGCCTCTTGAGGTCGAACGTGTCGTTGAATCCCTTCCCGCAGAAGCTGCATGGGTGCCTCTTAGTCTCATTGTGGCACTTAAGGTGGCGATTTAGCATGCGCTGGAATTGAAAGGTCTTCTGGCACACCTGGCACTCAAACTGGCCCGCGCTGGCAGTGGAAACGGGAGCCGAGACGGGCACCTCGCTGGGAAGCTCACCTGTCGTGACCTGCAGAAAGAAAAGGAGACATTGTGATCGAGTGACGCAGCGGTCACGAGAGTGACTGTGTCTAGTTTCAGACATACCAATGTACATAACAACTGACTGGTCACTTACGTTTCTCTCCAATAAGTGTCGGTCAGATTGATAACAGTGAGTCAGAGAAGCTTGCATTTAGCCTTATGTCCAGGTTCTGGGTGCTTAGATTCCACACTCTTACACTACAAGCCTGAATTTCCTAACAACTTACTCTATGCCAGTGTTTCCCAATCTGGTCCTTGGGGACCCACAGACAGTCCATGTTGATGCTCCCTCCCAGCTCCCTGAACAAAAATGTGGACTGTCGAGAAGGGAGCTGGGAGGGAGCAAAAACATGGATCAACTAGGGGGTCCCCGAGAAGCGGATTTGGATACAGTGCTCTACGCTCTTTCCGCTGCCACTTCTTCTCTCCCGTTCTTCCGCAGTCCTCACCTTAATCTTTGAGCGGATGTAGGTGCTGCTCTGTGCCCTCTTTGGACTCTCAGGCTCCGGGCTTTGCTGCTGGCCCTGGGCAGAGCAAGACGGGAGCTCGGCAGTGTGGGCATGCCGAAGGGCTTCCTGGGTAATCGTCAGCTGGTATCGGCTCAGCTCGGCGGTACTGGCCTCAGACTCCTCCACGCAGACAGACGGAACAATGGACACTTGGGAAGGAGTGAGACAGAACATGCACAATAAATATGTGTGGAGTTACAGACCACTTAAGCTACAGCAACAAATACTTTTCTCTTTTTATTAGGACTTGTTGCACCTTCACATTTTTACAGGTGAAAAGCTAACACTAGATTAT